TAAAAAATAAATTGTAATTGAAAATGAATTGCATTGATACAAGTATAATGAAATTAATGAGTTAAATTGCTTGATTCTTAAAATTATCTTATCTCTTCATCAGGATTCAATTTCTTCATTTTCATATTACAAGACTTTAGTTAAACAAAGTCATCTGTATCTAGAGGTTGAGATTTGCACCCCGTGTTAATTTTAACGAGATTATATAAGCAATCCCAGTTGAGCTTCGAGCTAATTGAAGGAAGCGAGAAAGAGAAAGACGAGGGTGGTAACGAGGAAGTAGCAATGGACCGACGAAATTCAAATCCCAACTCCTAGACAGAGTTTGAAATCTTTATATGTGATGTAAACTTGGCCGTATTAAGAGATCGAGACTAGATTGGAAGAGATAGATTCAATGAGATCATTGAGGTGGCCATTGAATTCGAGATTGTTTGGATTGCTACAATAATTTTTTGTATTAGAATATTGGAATTTTGTAGACGCTATGCTAAGAGAACAATGATTTGACGGTCAATCGCTAGAAAAAATGGTAAAATGATGAGAAACAGTAAGACTGTTTTGTGGAGTAATAGGATGCCATTTAGGAAAAACTCAGAGAGTGAGGGAGGAAGGAAATACATGTACTTTTATTTTTTTATTTTATAAATAAAAATTAAAATACAAAGTGAGTTTAGATAATTTTATTTACAAAATTGGGAAAACATAAGGGGTGTTGTAGTATTGAATTGGTAGTATATTTGATAAATTTTTAATACCATAATTATTAATGATTTGTTAACATTTTGAATACGCAATTCTTTGAAAATAGAAGCTTCACATAGGAGTTGTGAATGTCTGAGCAGCTGAACGTGTTACTTGCGTCGGAAGTCTATTTTGCTTTGGTCTCGCAACTGAACTTTTTGCTTTGTTTTCTACAGATGGGCAGCAAATAGTTTGTTCGAGATAAGGTTCTCTGTCAATTCGTCTTCCCAGAAAGGCCCGACACTCTGATGAAGTTTCTTGATGCATTCAGTTCCCGATGGAAACTTTACTTTGTTCCACAATAGATGTCAGGTTTGTTTGTTCTCAAAGAGCTTTCCTTCTTTCTTTGATTTATGTTACTATATTCAGTGTGATGTAAATGGATTTTTCTAAATCTACAGGGAGAGACTGTTGCTAGCGTGCTTGTGAGAATCCAAGTCCAGCAGAGGGGATGGATGAGTTGTACCTCCGTCCTGCCAATGATCTTGGATACGATTTTGTTGTTGTAATTGACGATGACAATTTCCAACTTCAGATGCATTGAGAAGTTGGTAGAGTTAGAGTGACCTCCAAAAGGGGGAAGATAGTACTGCAGCAAATTGAGACTTAGAGGGCATTCTATTGAATTTGATATATTAGATGTGGATGGTGGATACATTGATTGACCAGGGAATAAAAAACTGTTTATTTGTCTTATCAAGCTTGTGTTTGTAGCGTTGATGGAACTATGGAATTTTTAAGATGTGAGCGACAATCCTTGGAAAAGCAGGGATTGAGCTAGGATCTTTTTAGCAGCTTCAGAGAGGTGGAATCCATCCCAGAACATGTACTCCTTAGCATTGGTACATGTACCCAGTGACATTGAATTGCACAGGAATGAAGTCCTAAGACACCCATCCCGCAACAAGCCTTCCTTGATAACTTTAGAATAAAGAGAAATCAAGAGTCAAGACTGTCATTCATCACAATATATAGGCCATTGCAGAGATAAGATAGTAAGGCTTAATCTGGTTTTCCTATAGCACAACAGCTAAACCCAGAATGTTAGCTAACATAAACTCATTGATTCAACAAACAACCACTCCATTCATGTCATCTGTCAATTAGCAGTTAAACAACTTAAAATACAACGGTGCTATTTTCCTTTGCGTGTGGGAGAGTTCAAGCATCCGCCTTTTACTGTTGTCCTACTGCTACTGTTGTCTTCCCTCTGCTGTTGTTGCAGCTGCTACTTCCCTTTGCTGTTGTTGCAGCTGCTGGTTTCAATGAAGGATGATCCCGATGAAACTGGTTTTCTCAAGTCATGAGTGAGATGCAGTATCACTACCAGTTCCTGAGAGGATAATGGGTTGTTGTTGGTATATTAAGTCCCAGTAAAATATGGTTCTTGCAGAACCTCCAGCCTACAAGACAGAACAATGAGAGAAACAAGCAGTACAGATAACAACAAGGGCACACTTTCGACTAACCAATGAACGAGCGATTCCTATACTACATGCTATAGAAATAACAAAATCCTGGAAACACCTCTAACACCCTAATTATTCATCAAAGATGGGAATATTACATGTGTAGGATACTAGGATGTACCAATTTCTCAGACAGTGTTGTTCTTCCCTAACTATACAGCTGCAGGAGCTCCACTTGTGTCTCACTAGACCAAACTAAGTTATCGATGATGCATGGACCTAGAAGCTGTCATTTTAAGCATGAAATGACAAATCTCCAAGGAAGAAAACTAACAAGGTGACTCTAATATCTCAATGCAGAAGAAGCATTAGCCTTTAGCCTCCAATCATAAGCTTACTGCCACTATCGATTCACTACCACCATATTCATTCTACTACACGGGAGTATTCATATCTTACCAAATAGGTGTGCTTTCTTGACCGATGAATTTCAGGAGAATGTATGATCCCAGAAGTTCTTCCCTTCTCCCTACGTAATCGATCAACAGAAAACAAGTTTCTAAACAAGATATTTCATGAGTTTCGGTTCAGTAGCCATTGAACTAACAACCAACAGATTCAAACATTCCCAACAAAGTTACTGTATAAATCACCAACACAAGAAGCCTCCAGCAAGTTAATACTTTTTAACAACCATATTAAAAGATACATTCTTAGAAGTAGAATTAACTAACACAAGCAACAAACTGACAAACATTAGAATTCCAATTTGATAAATAGAGCCCCAAGCTGAAACTCACGATGTTGCTCATGTTAACAATGTTCGAACCGATTGGGGAAAGAAGCAACGCAAGCCAAGCCTACCTGCATCACAATCTTAGAACAACCCTCTCATTCTCAAGATTAAATTTTTGCTCCACTGTAATCAGGAAACAAGGAGAACAATAAATGTGAATTGAACCCCAACCTTGGACGGGGCAATACGAACCCATCAAGCCAACAGAGCCAAACGAACAGATAAACCGACGCAGAAACAGAATTCGGATCGAGGACTCTGATTAGAGGCCAAATAAGAGGAAGATAAGATTTCGAGGAGGACGGAGGCGGTGACGAAATTTAGTGGAGGTGAATCGGGTAGGCTGTATCGGAGATTGAGGCGGTAGAAAAGTTCATCAGAATGTTGTGTTTCTTTCACAGTCAGCCGGAGGGAACAGAGCGGAAGACAACTATGGGCTCTGGGTTGTCTTGTCGTGGTCGTTTGTTCCTGTAGTTTGGAGAAAAAAACCAAGACGGAGAGAGCTTTCCGTCTGTTTGGTCAGCTGGCCGTTAGGGACAGGGCCACTTCTTGCACGGTCAATATTTGGGCTTGGATTAATTTAGCTCTGCCACATCAGCTATACGTGGCCCAATCATATTCAGCGTCACCGGTACCGCGCTTTTTATCGCGGCATCATAGTATTGGCCTTATATTTTATATAATATACCCAACCTAAACCTACCACTTGCCAACTTTCAAATAACGTTCCCATAAAAAAAACACTTTCAAATAATGTAATAATAGATTTCCGGTTGGTTACTACCAATAATATCATACAATAGTTTATCCAATAATATAAGTAATACTAACTAACAAGGGTTTGGCCTAGTGATAATACCACTAGCATAGAACCTGGAGATCTCAGGTTCGAATCCCTTCTGTAGTACCTGAATGACAACAAAATGAAACCTATATCACCCTTATAAAAAAAATATATATAAGTAATACTACACAACTACAATATCATTCTATCGAAAATTAATTAAGTAAAACTACATCTAATCTCAACATTCTCCTAATATTTTATCAAATAATGTAAGAAACCTCCTAACTTCACACCCCAATTCCATTTTACATCCTACATCTAATCATAATTTCATGTGCAAATCCTTCTATTCGAAAAATAAATACACAAATGAATTATTTTTAAATTCATTAAGTCAAAAACTAACAAATTATCTTATGGAACGGATCATAAATTAAAAAAAACATAGAAAAAGTATTGATATTAACAAAAATTCCCCAAAAGAAGCCAATTTTTCGCGTTTGCCCCAAGGAAGCCGAATTTCGTTTGCCCCATGGTGCAAACTAAATTTTGTTTCTTTTTGGGGTTTCTTGGCCTTTTTTTTTACAGACATTTACCACGTCAAAGTGCTACTCATGTTTCAGACGTACCCTAAATGATTGCGGCTCCAAAATGTCGACGAGAGTGAGGAAGAGTAAGTGTTTATTTTTTTCTTTCTTTAATCAAAGTGTTGTTTGTTTGTTTAGTCAAAGTTGAGAGATCTCCCTGCGACGATGATTCAAAGGAGCCGGAAGGCGAAGGAGATTGTGGTTTTGAATATATACTACCACGAGGGAAAGGCGTTATGGCGGGAGTAGACGAGGCAATGGCAGATATTGCGGTGAGGTATTGTGATCTCAAAGCATGGGGTCTTAAGTCGCATCGGATCTGGCGTTCTGGCGGAAGGATCTCGAGGCGAATGGATTGTGTGACATTTAGGAATTTTTAAAGATTATTTATGCTGGCTGGGCAATGACTTGGCAGGTTGACCTTTAGTCAGCGACATTGGCCGTCAAAATTGACGTTCAACTCTCGGATTTGGCCAAATTAGTTAAGTACTGCAGGGTTAGTTCGGACCACAATGTTTAATACTAAAAAATTTGGCAATGTTAGTTACGTATAAGAAAAGTTTGGACCATGCAAATATATTTACAACAATTTTTATTAACTTTCAAGACCACATTTATCAATTCCTTATAAATACACCCCAACCTAAACATTCTAACTTGCCTAACTTTCAGAAAGAGAGAAAGAAAGGCAGTCAAATTAGCAACAAATGCAATTCTTGAAAGAAGATGGGTGCTCCGCAGAGCAGCAGCTGCTTGCTCCGGTGAGTCCAAATGGTCTTTACTTCAACAGCTCCGCCATTTCACTGGTTATCCTTGGCGTTATGGAAACCGAAGAACCCATCCATTTCCCTGATCACCAACTTGTTCATCTGCTGGACACACTCTTGCTTCCTCTCCACCCTCGCTTTTCCTCCATCATCGTAAGTATATTACGCCAACAATTCTCGACACTCAAATTCTTTCTCTCATGTATATTTTCAGTTGAACTAATCCATCCCCACTTTTACGAGCAGGTGACAGGAGACGACGGGGAAAAAAGATGGGAAAAGGTGGAAGTGAACTTGCAGGACCACATCAAGACTCCGGTTTTCCCGGAAGGGAAGTCGCCGGAATTCTACGATCAGTGTTTTCAAGATTACTTGCACGAAATCTCCGGGGAAAAGCTCCCGGAGACGCGGCCGCTGTGGGAGGTCCATCTCGTGAAGTACCCCACCATGAACGCGGCGGGGAACATCATCTTCAAGATTCACCATGCCATCGGAGACGGCTACTCGCTGATGGCCGCGCTGCTCTCTTGCTTCATGCGCTCCGACGACCCTTCTCGGCCCTTGACCTTCCCAAAGAACCGAATCCGGCGATCCTCGGCAGCAGATGGCCGCGCTGCTTTCTTGTCCAGAGCTCTGACGTCGGTCATCAATACGGCATCGGATCTGTGGTTCAGCTTCTCGAAGACCAAGTTTTCGGAGGATGATCTGTCGCCTTTACGGTCTGGAGATCCGGCTGTCGGTTCCCGCCCCATCTCTGTGGTAACATTGACGTTCTCTCTTGATGACGTCAAGGCGATGAAGGATCATCTGGGAGTGGTACGTAATAAATTGGTTAAAAGCGAATTTCATTTCTTTTATTATCAATAAAGCAAATATAATTGTTGAATTAGGAAGGTTAATTCTAAAATTTACAAAGATATTGGATAAAGAAACCAAAATGAACACACACACCCCAAGTAGGGATACCCTAACAAAATTGGTTTGCCTGTGTTGCAATCGGAATTTATTTAATGGGCAATGATGTTAATTTGCATGGAGAGAAAGACGTTGTAGGGCTTTTGAGGCTGAGGGGTGTCATGCCCTGTAGGTTGGGAAACGCTGGTACTTTAGTCTGGAGTCTGGACCATACATACCGTCTATGGTCTGGAATCTGGATTGAGAAGTTTGAGCATAGACCACGACCAAAACAAAACTACACTGTCTAAATCATACCAAGTTGGTACGTTTATTTTTATAAGGTTTGGACCATGTAGATCATGCATAATTTTGATACCTTAAATCCATATAAATTATAACAAAAAATTAAAAGTTTAAGCAACCCGACTTGCATCATAATGTCATAAACATTAATATAATGTCATATGAAAATACAATGGTCTCTACTTAGTGGAGGAGTGTGGTTTATGAATGAAGGAGGGGGAAGAGATTCACAAATTAGGGTTGGTACACTTGTGGTTCCGTCAAAGAGTTGAGAGAATGGTTGACTGAGCTGCTGACACGCATTGCGAAATGAGCTAGGTCCAACAGTTTAGTCCGATAAACTGCGGCCAGACCAAGAAATCAATACATTCTATAACACATACCACATACTAAACCAGATCATTCTTAGCAGTCTACGATTCGGACGAAACTGTGTGATCTGTTTTGGTCTATGATTTTTCAAATGGTCTAATATATTTTTCCAACCCTACTCCCCTATTTGCGGTTGCACTTGCTCCTTTATCTATGTTATGAAAGGAATTTGGAGAAGGAGATGGTGGGAGAAGGGTAAGTGGTTATGTAAGAATTATTAGGTACTCCGGGGTGTATACTCCCTTTCTATTATAATAATATTTTTCCTATTACAAAACAAGGAGAGAGAAAGATAATAATGATGATAATCACATAATATATTCTCCATGGCAAGTGCAACTGCCCGATCCCGCCCATCGTGGGGTGGCAGAGTATTCTCGATGGCCGTATCCTCCTTCAACGAGGACTTCGATGGCAAGTGGGGAATGGAGTACAAGTCTCTATTAAGAACTCTAGCTGGGTTCCAGCGTTCCACCCTCACCCTCTTATGTGTAAGCCTCAAGTAATGCCGGAGGACTCTGATCCAAAAGTTGCAGAGTTAATTGATCCTATGAGGGGGGTTGGTGTCACCATTCACTTCAGCATATGTTTCCTCCTGAAGTCAGTCGGGAGATTTTAGCAATTCCCTTGCCTAGTCGTATGAGTATCGAGGATAAATTGGTATGACATGATACGTGTGATGGTGTGTTTATTGTCAAATCCGCCTATCACCTAGCGGTGCTGGTGGATAAGCAGGTAGGGGTGTGACGCCCCCGAGTAAGCTGGATGGATAAAGCAAGTTGGATGAAAATGGGGGCCCTTAAGATCCCACCTAAACTTAAACTTTTCCTCTGGCAAATTTTTCACAGTATTTTGCCTACCACGGAAGCCTTGATCAAAAAGAGGGTTCAGATTTTGCCTCGCTGTCCGGTGTGTTGGGCAGAGTCTGAAACATGGAGCACCTGTTTTGGGAGTGTCCAGTCGCTGTTGCTCTCTGGGCGCATTCAGGGTTGGAGCATTTGGGCCAGGATCTTCCTCGCCACACTTTCCTCTTGTTCCTTAACCGATGTTTGCTTAGGTTGACTCAGCTAGATCAAGTCATGGCTTTGGTAGCGCTCCTCTGGCGTATTTGGAAATCAAGAAATTGGGCAGCCTTGGAGGGCAAGCAATTCTTAGTTTCCCAACTGATGCACCAATATCATCAGCAGGTAGATGAGTGGGTGTCCTTGCCAGAGTAAAAAATTGATCTTGAGTCGGGTTACCTCTCAGCATCATCTTTGGTTAAAAAAAAAGAGAGAAAATGAAAATATTATTATATTAGGGAGGGAGTAAAGAGAAAGTATCTAATAATTTATCAGTGATGGAAGGAATCCGATCCGTATTTCATCTTTTCATACTCATATGTAAGACCAACCGTTTAGGAGCGAATACAACTTTTCCACAATTAACTTTAACGTTCTATATTTTTTTCATATTAATTCATAATTCAAATATTTTTTTCTAGACTAATTGTATTATTCTAAATGACATTCATTTTGATATAAATTTTAACAAAAAAATCATGTCATATATTACCAATTTATACCATGGTGGTATGGATATATATTGGTGTAAAATTATCGTATACATGATAATAGCAATATACTACTCTCATTTTACCATTATTTATATAAGGATGCTATTGAAGGGATTCGAATTTGAGACCTCCATGTGGTGAAGGAACAACTTTTATGCAAAATGGACGAACCATTCAATTTGTGCAAAAAATTTCAAATTTTGAGTTAAAAAAGTAAGGTGATACAGAGTGGTATCAAGGTGGTACAAAAAATTACAGGGATGGATATCAGTCGGGTTCGGTTTAACCAATAACCGAAGGATCGGTTTTCGGATAGCCGAGCGTCACTTAATCGACTGCCAAACACCGACTGACGGGTGTATTCGGTTAACCGCAAAACCGACCGAACGGTTATCGATGTTTGCCGAATTTAAGGGAACGCGAATTCAGTGTCGTTTGGTGGGGCCTGGAGGGGTGGTGGCGATGGAAGAAAGACGCAGATGGGGCGCGCGCGCTTTGGTCATGCTTTGCTTCTCTTGACGGGAGAGACGGGTCGGCTACTCTTGACGGTGATGTACAACCAGCAACGAGCATTTTTCGGGGCTTCCTTTTACCGGCAAATTTTACACTGAAAACCGCAGGGGGCGGTTTTAGTTTGGCATGCAGTCCCCACCCCCTGCAACCTCCTGCATGTCAACATGTCGGATGTCGGGGGAATGGGGATGAGGCACAAACCGCTGGGGATGCGGTTTGTTCATCGACCTAATAAACCGCTTGCATGAGGGGCGGTTTATGTTGCCGACGCATAACCACACCCAGAGCATGCGATTTGTGTTAGGGCAACCATGGGAATCGCTCCTTCGACGAGCGATTTTCCCAAAAACCTCTAACCACTCCATTGCAATGCGGTTTGATTGTAAACCGCCTCCTTGCAGTGTAGTTTTCACTGTAACCGCCCCTGCGTGGTGCGGATTTTAATTAAGGATGGTAGATTTGAAAAAATTTCGGTTTGGATGGTAGTTTTGTAATTTTTTTAAAACAGTGGTAGTTTTGGATTTTTTCCTCACTCTGCAAGGCTCTAGGATAGCCTGCCAAGCAGTTCTCATCCATATCGAAGTTGTAAATCGTCAAGCTTCCATCGTTGTCGTGCTTCAACCTCGGTGTCCGGTTCAACCCATAATCTGCATGGTATACTTTGTCACCGCTCAGCACCCATGGGTCTTCTTTAAGTTTATTTTTAACAGCCGGAAAATATGTGGAAAATTTAAAAATTTAAAATATTTTTTTTTAATATTTTTTAATTGCCTCACACACAGTTGATAGTCAAATATGAGAGTTGATTACCACATCAGTAAAGGTTAAATGAGTTTGACGGAGAGTGACTAAACTTGGATATTTAATTAATTTTACTGACCACGAATGAAATTAAATATTTTTACTTACCAAACGTGAAAATTTTTAGTAATTCGAGTGAGCAACCTTGCAAATTACCCTATATATGTACATATATTGTTCTATCATATTTTGAGTAAATTCATAAGTATAGCATAACCTGAGTGAGAAATTGCTATCTAGCTCATGAACTAACCAGAGTTTGGGACATGGTACTAAATCGTAACCCTTAAATATTAAAATATAGGTCTTAGTTCTATAAATCTCATACCCCATAACCCCAAGATCAAATTAATTAGAAACAATAATCAATAGTCATGATGTGCTTAGGGTCGAGGATTTAGATAATTAAGATCTAGAGTTCACCCATCAAGGGTTATGGTATAGGATCATGCCCCAAATCGGGTAATTCGAGGTTTAGATATTGTTTTCTTACTAAGGATATGCGGCAGCCTAGATTTATCCTAGGTAAGATAGAAGGCTCCATATATATGGTTTACACTAGCGTATGCGCACGCGTATATGTATTTTCGCAAAAACTTCAATATTTACTTTGATTTAAGGTAGAGTTCATAGATTTAGGGCTAGCCTTTAGGCTATATAATTTGGGTTTTAGGATTACTATTCAAAATTGAAAGTTTAGGGTTTAGGATAATTTGATGTCGTAAGGCTACTCTTAGAGTTTAGTGCATTGTCGTAAGCAACCGTGGAGGACCAACTCCCGATTTAACTGATTCAATTATTCAAAGCGACAACCAAAGTCCTTCATCTCCGAGCTCAAGCTGCGAGAGGAAGCGAAGGAGGCGGAGATTGAGGTTTATTCACACTCTCCCAAGATGTGGATACGATTTCAGAGGTCAGGAAGTTGAAGAGAATGGATGAAGTTAGGAAATAGCGGCTAGGGTTGGAACTTGGAAAGATATGGAGGAAAGAGAGAGAGAGTCTCATGTCTATTGAGATAAGAAGATTGGGAAACGACATCGTACTTTATAAAAGATTATATAAAAAATTATAAATATTTTTAATCTTAATTTCAATTTCAGGGACACACTGAGCGCGCATTAAATTCGTTGTGGAAAATAGTTAATATCATCATGGCGGAACTTTTCGGCGCTAGAAACAATTGACATTGTCGCAACGAAAGCTTCGTCGCAGATGCTCTCCAAACATTTTGCGACACCCTAATTTGTCGCCTAAAATCTAAATTCTCGTCGCAAAAACCTCTTTATATTTTCTTTTTTCGAACAACATTCGTCGTCATTAATTTCGTCGCAAAAAGCTTTTTTTTTGTAGTGATTCCATTTCACCACAATATGTGTCTAGCCAATTAAAGTTGGTTTGTTACTTATTAATTACGGAACTCTCCCGTGCTTTGTCGAAAAGTGATTCGCCTAAGGTGTTACAACTACTATTCAAGGATGGACAAAAAAATTTGCAAAATTTAGAAGAATTATGCTACACCTAGGGGTGGCAATGGGGAAGATTTTCCTAACTCATCCTCATCCTCGTCCTCATTTTCAGATATCCAAATTCATACCTGCCCCATATCCATGAGGGAGAGTATTTCCCATCCCAATACTCGTGGGTAGGCCTGTCAATTTGGTTTGACTTGGTTAACCAAACCATTAAGTATGAAAAACCAAAAATCAAAACCATTAAGGCCCTTATTGGTTTTCGGTTGCCAAAAACCAATAAAGGCCTTAATGGTTTTGGTTTTGGTTTGAATAACCAAAAAACCAATATGTACTCATATTTATGCCCATTTCCCTCCTTTTTATTGAATAAACGTCATAATAATGGTAAATGACCATTACAAATTATTGGTTGGCATGCGTGTCAAAAGAAAAAAAAATATTTGTTGACAAATAAATTTATTCTTATTGGTTTCTTAATGGTTTCTATTGGTTTTTCGGTTTTAACCAAACCAAAACCATTAAGTTGCTTATTGGTTTAAAATCGAAAAACTGAAACCATTAGCTTTCCAATTGGTTTGGTTTCGGTTAAAACCAGAAAACCAAAACCAAATGGACATCCCTACTCGTGGGAATAGACATCCCCTATATCCAATATTACTATACCCAGAATTTAACCCGTAGATCTTCAGTTATAATACTGAACATACCTAATAAATCATGAAGTCAACAAATCTGCAATAATTCTTAATATGAATTCAGAACATCCAGTCCAGTCCTTATCACATAAAAAAAATCAAGTCCTAAAATATTCATTAATTCATAAGAAAAGAAAAATTTCAATACTACTTAAATCGTCCATCTCCAACATATGTGTTAAGCAATAAATAACTAACATAATCTAGTTATCAAGGGGAAAGAAGGGGTGGAGGGTGAAGGGTGAATGGAAAGAGAAAAAATTAATGTTTGCTTTGAGTAGTCACTCAATTACATTTAAATTATATATTTTTTTTTATCTTTTTGAATTACTCTTCCTATGGTTGAGAGATTAATTATGATCCTTATATTTTCTACATAAGAAAAAATGCTCTTGGTTGGAAGGGTATTGGCGGTGGAGCCTAATATCATACCTGTCGCATTTTTATCAAACTTTTTGTGGGATTTACCCATATTCACCCTTATCCTTTAAATGCAAGGATTTCTTATTGACTAATATGGGAGAGCTCAGGTACACATAGTTATGAGTTCGATTATCATCTCTAAATACATCCCTATATATCCATGGGCTTTAAACTGTGTAAAACGAATACCAAATCAATATATAAATAGTTCATCTTCCTTACTTTTTTTTTAATAAAAGCAATAAAATTTTATTTTATAGTTATATACTACTAAAAGAATTCAAACTTGAGACATTCAAATTCAAAACTAGTTTTGTTACTGCTACTCAAATTAGGGTGCATAACTTTAGGATGCTTAACATGGGTAACCAGATCTGGACCCTTCTTTTTAAGTGGGCTATTGATCTAAGGCTTGAGAATTAGAAGGTTTTTTATTTTTCCTAGTTTTTTTTAATCGAATCATATCTTCTATATTCTAACTTGAATTTCAATTTTTTCTGCACATATGGACCGAGTTTGTTGTGCTCTACAAAATGAGATCCATTTTCAATATTTTTTGAGAAAAAAATTTCATACCACTCGTTACTAACTCCATACCATATGGTATCTCCTTGATTTTTAAGTCGTTTTTTAAAATTTTTGCACAGAAGGAATGAATTATTCATGATCTATTAGATCCAAAATTTCCCGGTTGAAAAAAATATTGGACCAAAAAATACCATACTATACCACCTTGGTATGGCGGTGTATCTTTCATACCATATGGTATGCTCCTTTTAATACCAATCAATACCACTATGGTATATACTGGTAAACAATTGCTCAATTTTTTTTGTTCAAAAAATATATCAAAGCAGATATCATTTTGAAGAGCACAATTAAACTTATTTAACTGTGCAAAATAAAATTAAGGGAGAAAAATTAAAGGTTTTCCAAGAGAGAGAAGGTGCGCTGATGTGGCGGATTGGATTGGATTATGCATGATTATTGACCAAAGAGTTAAGAACATGATCCATTCCCTATTACGACTATGCCAACTATGGGAGCGGATCCCATAACATCAGTAACTCTATGGTGAGTACTGAGTACCCATGAGTAACCCAACAGAATCCGCCACATCAACATTTTTTTTTCGTTGAATACCACATCAGCATTTCTCTCTATCGTGAAAGCCTTTAATATTTTTCCTTTTAATCTTTAATAGTTTCTCTCTTGTTTTAAGTCGGAATTTTGTTTTTTGCATAGATAAATCAGATCAATTGTGATCTTCAAAATGATATCCACTTTGATATATTTAAAAAAAATTGAGACATTTTTTTATTAGTCTATACCATAGTGGTATTGATTAGTATTAAAATAAGAGCACACCATATGGTATGAACAACGTACCATGGTGGTATGAATACCCGAGACTGTAGGATGGTTGAGTACATAATAGTAGTATACTAACTATCATTTACGACTTTCAACTCGTTCCTTCTGTGCAAAAAATTTCAAAATCAACTTAAAAAAGAATGAGATACCATATGGTATGGAGTTAGTAACGAGAGGTATAAAATAAAATTTCACAAAAAATATTGAAAATAGGTATCATTTTGTAGAGCACAAAAAACTCGTTTTATCTGTGATTTTTTTTTTTGAAATCCGAGTTATAACGAAGAAGATCAAAAAACGTTAAGAAAACTAGGAAAAATAAAATATCTTTAATTCTTAACCTTTGAATTTGAATTTTGTGGATCGAGTAAAAGAGTAAAAAAGAAAGGTTAAATTTAGTTATGCAAGGTTGCACTCTAACTTGAGCAGCCAAGTATCGTTACCTTCCGTTTCTTTCCTCTTATCCGACGTTAGCGCGGCTCTCCTACATTCCAAAATCGAATCCGAAGAAAAAATAATCCCAAACTTTCTCATTCATGCAAAAATGTTCCAAAAATACAATCAAATGAACATATATTTATTTTTTTGATAAAGCGAATTCATCATTATCTATTTATATTAGCTAGCTAGCTTGCACCTTGAATATGGATTAATTAACAATTATATATTGGTGATAACAGGGACCATATTCCTGGGGACGCGACTGTATATGCAAGAAAAAGATCCAGGATCAGAGGATGCAGAAATTACAGGACTGGTATTGATGAATACGAGGATGCTCCGAAGCTACAATTCGATTAAGGAAATGGGGAAACTGAAGACAACCTCCCCGTGGGGAAACAATTTCGCCTTTGTCCATGTCACCGTCCCCAAGCTTACTGCAATTTCAGATGAAAATAATGATCAGTCGAGGATGCGTCAGTGTGCTCTAGAATTTGTGAGGGCGGCTGGTGCTATCATTAAAAAGAAGCGGGTTTCTCTCGCCATTCCTGTCACTGCCAAGCTCCTCGAACTTTATCGGAAAATGAAAGGACATGAGGTAAGTACAATGTATATTAATAAATCATATTGCATGAGCATTTCCTCACTTCTTTTTCTTTAATTCTTTGGGTAATTAGCATAAATGGTAACAAATCTTTGTGGGTCAGTGATTAATCAGTATAAAATCGTTCAGAAACGTAGAATTTGAAGGAAAAAATATATATATATATATATATATATATATATCCTGGTTTGATGATAGCAACCAAAATTAATGCTCAATATCCAATAATAAATGGGGTTATCGAAATTCGAACAGAACAACTTTCAGTTAACGGAGGCTCTAGCTAATATCAGGTTAAGAACTATTTGATTTCAATAACTCAATTTGTTAGGAGATGCTCAATTATGTATTTTATACTGTTTACTAACAAAAATGGAGTAATAAACTACTTTAAATTAAGGGCCAGTTTTGCAATCTAAGTTTCTAGATTGTAAACAAATAAAATATTCTCGCTTTTTGGATTCATGAAAAATATTAAAATGTTGATTATTTAGTAACTACGAGTGTTAACAATAATAAGAAAAGAAATTCACTTTTGAAATGACATGCTTACCCATAACCAAAAGAACCATAGTGGCTCAAAAAATATTATAAATTTATTGATAAAGATATTTGACGGGATTAAAAAGGGAGAGATAGAATATGAGAGAAAAATCTCAAAAACCAAGATACAAAATTTATATAACTATGAGAGATTTGATATTTATAGATTTTAGATATTTGATATTTTTGTACTTAAAATTCGCATAAAAAATACAATGCATGCACCGTAAATCAATGAATCAAATTATTTTTCTCCAAACCATCTAAGAGTTAAATATATCTTACACTTTGAATCTGGTTATGAAGATATTAAGAAAAAAAACTAATTATGAAATAGACTGCTTCAGTAATTGAGGTGGTATAAGACCCAAGTTATGATCTTCGTCTTTTCTAACCCGAACTCCAGACAAGCCATAGAGAAATAGTACATAAGAGAAGAGACGGAAAGCAGTCAAAGCACTGTGATTTTGAAGGTGCTTCACCAACCTATGGCTACTCCACGTCTCGAGAGATACTACTGATTATCCATTTATTTGATTTTATCTTATAGAATGAATAACGAGAAAAGAACTAAAGAAGGAACAAAATCAAGGAAAGAGATTGAAAAATGATAAAAAAAAACCCATATCCCAGCTAGACCCATAACAGCCATCAATTTATAGAACCTCTTCCTTAATAAAAATTAAGCTCCTTTTCAATCTCAAGTCCTATTACATTCTCAATTACAAAAGTTCGATAAAAAAGTATATAGTGGCTACTTCGTCGCACTCATTTTATTGGGTACACTCAGTGTACCCAACTTTAAAAGTGTCCATAATACATCAAATTTTGAAGTCTAATTACTACTCTCAATCTAATATGATGATATGACATAGAATCATAACAAATCAATCTATTACCCTAACCCCTTAACCTTCAATTTTGAATCCCAACCCAAAATCCCAAATTGTGAACCTAAACCCTAACCCTAAACCCCCAAATCCTAAATCTTTCAAATTAAAGTAAATTTTGAATGATTTTTTTTTTCAAATTCATGTGCTTCTTGTTCATAATATCAAAAACAACAATTGATACCGTTTTGACATGTATCGCATGCTCAGAATGACAATTATGAGGCGAGTGCACTTACTTTTTTTAGTGCATGCATTCAGTGCACTCGCTTCATAACTATCATCTAAAAATGCATCCAATAATAATAAAAATGCATACTGGTTTCTAAAATGCGACATAGTAACTTTCTAGCTTGATATCAATTAATTTTAATCAATTGACTGGGCAGGCTGCAGCTACTTACGTGCACAAGGTATTAAAGAACACAACCTTGGGTATTTCTAACTTGGTTGGTCCTCTCGAAAAAATGAGTATTGCTGATCACCACATTAAAGGCATGTATTTTATGGTTGCTGGAAGCCCACAGGTACCTTCGCCTTTTCTCGCTTCTTGAAAGCATACTCTATATATATTCTTGAATGGTAATTAAGAAATATTCTATCGGCTACGTACGTACATTGCAGGATGTTACCATCAGCGTTATCAGCTACATGGGACAGCTGAGGGTATCCGTTGGAGCGGAAAAAGGCTTCATAGACCACGACAAGCTCAAGTCTTGCATTCAAATGGCATTCCACCATCTTCGCAACTCTGCATGTCATTAGAATTATTTTTCGAGTTTCCTAGGAAAAAGGATAAAGTTATAAAACTTATATCATGAAATAATTCCTGCCAGGTGTGATGGTAACAAGAAAACATTATTCGACAACCATAGAACCAAGTGGGGGAAGGAGCTTATGTGAGTGCCGGTCTCGGTATAACCCACCTTGGATTTAAAAGTATTCCTAAAATTTATATGTAAAATGCAAGTTACACATGATATTCAAACCTTGTATGCATGCAATAATGGATTCAAACAATCATAAAACTGTATAGCTTATGTCATGCATTTGTCATTGATCTATATATAACTGTTATACGTAGAAAGAACTGCAGCAATTAAATAGACCATCTGATAGTCAATTTCTCAGTTTCCCAATTCCTAGCTAGTTTTGACTTCATCTCTCTAACCAAAAGCAACTGCCAAATCTTCACCTTGCCGATGTAGGTTGTGTCAAAGAACCCTCTAGGATCTCTCCGTTAGTGTACTAACTTGTAAAATGTACGTTGTTGCTTGTCTTTGCAAGTGTTGAAAGTGTATTAATTAAATGTATTACATGAATAACATATTTCAAAGTCGAATTGTTGATGAATTCATGATGTTTTTTGTATAGATGAGAAGTCGTTGACATAATTGATAAACAGTTTGGATGATAGATATAGAAAATTTTCAAATTTTGAAAGCACATCTTAGAAATTAGATCTTTGTAAAGATAGAGAAAGTTCAATTTATACTTTTTCACTTCGTATCCAGCTTGAATAAAATTCTGACTCCACCATTGATAGAATCGATATCTTAACCGAGGAGAAGGCTACTCCAAAAATTTGCAAATGGCGGACCAGAGGCATCAAATCATTAGGCTCAAGAAGGTCCTATCAATTTTTGCTATATACTGTTTTACCCATATGTTTCTCCTTTTCCTATGAGTGACTAGCTAGGATACCCTTGTTGTTTATATTAGTGGAACACGAATTGGTTCCAAAATTCTAGGCCGTGTTTAAATATAATTGACTGATTTTTGTCCCATAATTCTTGTTCTTCTTGCTTATTATATTTTGTTATGCTTTGGGAATACAATCCTAAGACTAGAACTCATTGGGATTCAAAGGAAAGACGAGAAATCTCTCATTGGATATTTTAGAACTCTAAGACAGAAAATTGCATGTCTTTATCGACCGGGTATTCAATCATTGCATTTCAAGCTTTAATAGTTGAGGTTATGATGGATGAGAATCGTGCATGGTCAAAATAATTTACTATAATTTTGTAATCGCGAAGGTGTTTTCGCTTGACACACCTCCTTGACACATAAGTACGCCCTATATATACATATACCCTTGAACCTCAACAAACTTTCAACATATCCGAAATCCGAAGTCAGTTGTCAATAACTATATTTTGACGAGACTTTGACCCATAAAGGTCAAGCAGAAGCAGGGGTTAAGAACATAGAAAGGGAATTTGTCCGCCGAAGGAGATGAAATCTCTGGTAGCTTTGATGGATGAAGCTGGAAAGAAAGGGAATTTGTTGACCGGGGAGGCTTTGAACTTTAATGGGAAGAATATTTTATTGGCGATTACCAAAATCGCAGTCCCAGCAGTAAGAGTTCTAATACAAGCCGACTTTCGCGAAAATCAGTCGTGGAAGAAACTGGGGGATGTGATGAAGAGGTGGGCTGCTGTGAAGAACTCGGAGGAGAGTAGGTGAGCGGCGACATGCAAAGCCTAGAGCACCATATCTGAAGAATCCGAAAACGAATTCAGGCGAGCATCGACTGGGGAAGAGCAAGGCGGGAGGGAGGGACTCGATTGTCTGGCCTTTGATGGGGGGATTGAAGGACGGCCGAGAGGAGGAACGGCGACAGGTTGGAGCTTCTGATTTTCGGCCGGATGTTCTACAAAGAGGGAAAAGAAAGGTAAAGGTGGAGAGAGAAAGGGGTTCCCAAAACCGATTATCTGGCAGTATCTTCTGGGGGTAATTACTAATTACTCAAGCAGCGGGCTTAGAGCATCCTAGGCCCATACATGCATTTTGTAAAAATCGGAAGCATAATGAAAATTAGTTGTTGCACCTGCACTACACTTTCTAGTTTCTACTACCAAGATCAAGAGATCTCCTTCCTACGACATACACACACATTTTTTTTTTTTTATGAATACGACATACACACACATTGACACTTGCCAAATCCTTAGCACTTTCTTTTGTAATTTTTTTTATATATTTCAAGATAAGGAAGTAGTATCTTTTATTCAAATATATTTAGAAATATTTAATATAATATAATATTGACGCTCTGCTCACGCTCTTAATATTAAACTTTTTTAAAATGAATGCTCTGACGCTTTCGTTCCCGCTCCCTCTCTCGCTCTACGCTCTGGTCACCTAAAACCAACCACAATTAAAGTAGATGAAGCATTAAAATAAACTAGATAAACACATTCATTCAAAATCCAAACATGCACAACCTATAAACTCGGGTTCATCTTCCCTAAACAACCATTAGAGATTCAAGTCATAGAGAGAGAAAGAAAACACAAACTAGAAGAGAGGGAGTGATGGAATCAATCTTCTTCTCCTTGCTTGCACCTTCTTCTTGCTCTTTGGGTGGATTGGATCTTCAATGAAGCTCTCCCAAGGTATTTCCCTCTCTAAAACACTCCAAAATCCTAACTTTCTCACTCTAGGGAGGCTCTCCCCTTTTCCTTCAGCAACTCCACTATTTATAGGCGTTGGAATTCGCGGGCTGTTGGGGAAAGATCGCGGGCGTGAACTTTTGTGTTGCGGCCATGATCTATTTTCACGGCTGTCATCAAAGTTGCTCGCAAGACGAGTGGGGAAACTCTTTGTTCCTCCAACGGTGTTTCCTTCTGAAGTTTGCAGTCCAAGCGCTCCAGTTCGCGGGCGGGATCCTTCGGTGTTGTCCCGCAATCTCTGAGGACACTTTGCGACCTCGCTTCTCGGTCGAGAACTTGTGGCCTTTAGCTGCGGTCATTGTAATTTCTGGCTTCTTTCCTTGCTTATACATATTCCTGACCATTCCTCTCCATTTGTGCCATTTTCCATACCTAATTCACATGTATCGTCTAAAGCACCCTAGAATGACAACATAACAAAATAGGGATGCTATTGACGATATACTTTCGATTATGCACACGAATTAGCATGAAACAAACCAAAATATGGAGGGTAAACAACACCGATTTAGGTGTTATCATCTAGACATGTGGCTTGGTAGGGGAAGGGATCAAGTGCATAACGTTGTGGTCAATAACCATATGCATAACTGAGTCGCACGAAACTACACCACAATAATCCCTACTAGAGTCCAAGTTTTTAAACTCTAGCCGGGTGCAGTATAGAGCAAGTATTTAGATATCAACTCGGGTTGGTCCGTCTACCCCTACTTCAATTGTTGAAATCATTATCTAGCAACAAAGTTTTGGTTTAAAAGTTTGCTAATTGTACTAAAATAGGACAAAGGTAAATGGGTTTTGAAAACTCTTTTGTGGAAGGATCACTCGGGTATCGCTTCCTCCTAACTACTACCATGCTCTACGAATTAGAACGATTGTTTTGGGCATGGTAATCCCGAGTCGTAGAGGGATGCATACATGGCCGGAGACCACAATCTCAACTGCTAAACCGAGGTAAATATCAAAGGCCGTGTCACTCGGCCCTCTCGGTTTAGGCAATCGATAGTTGACTTACTCCATCACTCAAATCAAAGGCCAGACGGCTTGATCGCGATTAACCGATGCTTAATTCCCCATTGAGGGTTACCCTAAATTAACCTAGTTAGGTGGCTTAAAAAGCTGAAGGAAAACCAACTCGATTGAGTCTCCCTTGGAAGGGGGATTTTCCTCTCTAAGCTAGGTTAAGGTGGCTAATTAGATTGATAGAACCAACATGCACAAACCTAAGGGTGCTAAGCACAATTATGCACATCCCTAGGTTGCTAAGCACCAAAATTCACAAACCTAAGGATGCTAAGCACAAAACATGCACAACCACTAGGTTGCTAAGCACAAGCATGCGCAATCAACATTGAATAATACCTCAATCATTGAATTAAACAATACCCAATGACAATCATCCAATTCACATAAAATAAACTACATGGTAGAGTTAGGGTTTCACAACACCCAAGTGAAAGGAGATGTACTCCATGCTAGAGATGGGAAAAAACACAAAGAGAAGAAGAGGAAACCATCTTGGAGGATGCTCCCAATCTCCTTGGCCCTTGTGTTGAGCTTTCCTTGGAGGAAATCTTCCCAAAATCCACCTTGAAGCAAAACCCTAGCCTTTTTCTTCCTTGGTTCGTGTTTCTCTCTCTAGAAATCTGAAGAAGGCTTTTCACACAAAGTGGGCTCTCTCGTCTCTCCTCCTTTCAGCTCATCATTTAAACCAGAGACGAGCTGAGTTCACGGCCGTGAACCACAAAACGCGTTCGTGAACTGCAGGCGTGCACCAAAACGCACCCTTCAATCTCTTCTGTTCACGGTCAACAGCCTTTGTTCACGGTCTTAGTGACCGTGAACTCACCTTGCATCAGTAACCTTCGTTTTGGCTCTGGACGCCTCGCGATTCACGGTCAAGGGCTCTTCTTCACGGTCATGCAAGACCGTGAACTTCCTTGGGTAGCCGTGAACTGGCCCTTTTTCACCTCCTCCCGGTTTTTGATCCTTTGCGCCCAACTTTCGACTTTGAGCCTGGTTTCACCTGTTAAATCCTGAAACACACTAAAACATGAGAAACCTAGCGTAAAACCATCCATTTAGGAGTGAATTTGGCACAAACACCTAAGTAAAACGGGGGCAAAACATGTACAATTAGGCCAGAATCACTCCCCACACTTAGACGTTTGCTTGTCCCCGAGCAAACCATTTCACACAAGGTAATATTTCAACCTACACAACTACTTTGGGGACAACTCAAATGGCACAAAGTGGGAATTCTCAATGGCTATTTGAAATCAATACATGCACCGTTGCAAGCAATACTAACATCCACCACAAACGACATTCGAAGCCACCAAAAAGGGCAAACGAAAAGTTCTCACCTTGTTCATGGATCAATGCAAGTCGCAACAAGA